TGGCCCCACATTTAAACTCAATACTGCACTTGGGTAAAAACTGTTCTTGAATCTGCTTGTCCTTGCTTTCAATACCCTGAATCTCCTTCCTGATGGTAATAGTTTAAAGAGCTGATATCCCGGATGAGAGGAGTCTTTCAGTATGTTAGATATCTTGCTCTTACATCTGTTCTTATACAATTCTTCCAAAGAGGGGAGTGAACAGCCAATGATGTTTTGGGCCGTCTTAATCACCCTTTGAATTGCCTTTTTCTCTGCCACTGTGCAGCTCGTGAACCATACACAGAGACAGTAGGATAATATGCTCTCAATTGAACTCCGATAGAAGGTGATTAACAAACTCTCAAATATTATATGCTTCCCCCCACCTGGGCCTATGCAGAGCTATAAAACACATTTAAATCCAACATACCAAATACTTAACAGTGAAGATGTGTTTCACTGAGCACTTCAGAAACATCGTGACATCCTCATCACCTTATTTTTAAAAAACACAAGATCAACCACCACCAACCATACACGAACAGATTAGCGCTAAAGAGCCACCCTGTAAGTGCAAATGTCATATTAAAAAAAAAGGAAGCTCCACAGGGTGGAGGGGGTGGCTGGGTATACATATATACACACCCACCCATATATAGGAGAGGCAGAGACAGAAGGAACACACACACATATGTATACAGTACTGCAAGTATATCTGTGTTTGTGTACATGTGTATCTATTCAACCTATCTATATATTTGTATATATGCATGTATTTTCACATATACATTCATATATATATATATACGTATATGAAAATATGTATATATACTTGTGAGAATGCCAAAAGTACTAGACATGCACACACACAGTATTTACAGAACAGTATATAAATACTGTAAATATGTGTCTGTGCATGTGTGCGTGCACAGCACTTAAGTATTGGCAGGCTCACAAACATATATACATAACTCCTTATACTGTATATGAATGTGTCTGTGTACACACACACAGATACTGTATATGTGAACACGAATATACTTATATGCATAAACCGACAAGAGACAGGCACACCCCCACATGTGCATGAAACAAGGCACATCCTGTCCCACACCAGCCCCTGCCCCCTTTTTAAGGCCATTTTCCCTCTCCGCCCCCCTGCAGGATCCTCTCCTCCCGGGTCCCCCTTGGCCGACCCCACCCCATGCACAGGGACACCCACACACCCACACACCCCTCAGGGGGGAAAAAGGCCAGCCCCATCCAGGGGGGGAGGTCTCTTCCCCCCCACACACAAAAAATAGCCCACCACCGACTTAACCCCTTCAGGGAGCTCCCTCTGAGGAGGGGGGTCCCTCCTCCTCCTCCTCGCCCACCCCGTTGGTTTCTATTGGGAGGGGGGGCAGAACACACCCCTTTAAAAGGCATGTTTGGACACCTCCGTTTTCCAGCTTGGATCCATCCCATCCTTGTAAACAGTGCGAAAAAAAGAGCCGCCTACTCGAAAGCCATCCAATGGCGTTCCATAATCTCGACTGAGTTGCTCTCTTGCAACTGCCCCCCCACCGGGTAGCCGTCCGTGAGAAAAGGATTTGGAAAAATCTATTTTAAGAAATCAGGTCCCCACCTCTCACCCCCTCTGCAAACAGGTCCGTGACGGGGGGGGGGAGGGGAAACCACCCATTTGTGAATCATAGATGCTCTCTGCTGGACTATGATGAATTGCTGACTGAATGTTTTGGATCCTGCTTTTTAATCTCATCAGCTCAAAGGCAGCATTTTTTAAAGTGGTGGTAAAATGCTTGACTGCAATGGGAGAAATATATTTGACGAGGCACTTCTGCACCAGTCTCACAGCTGGAGCGGGGGGGGGGGGGAAGACCACATGAGGCTGACCGTGACGTTCCTGTTCTCCCTCCACAAGCGCCCTTCTCCCGTTATTGTCACAAGAGACAATGTATTACAAAAACCAGGTAGACCAAGTTGTTTATGCCATTTAGCCAGACTCCTGAACGATCACAAGGATAGCAGGTTTCTTGCTGGTGGAGCACAGGCTAACAAAGCTTGTTGCAAGCCGCTTAGAGTGGCCTTGAGTGGCTAGATAGGCGGGATATAAATAAAATAAATAAATAAATAAAATAAAGCTCCAACTTCAACAGGGTGTACAGTAGACGCGCTCTGATCATGGTGAGGACTTGGAAGGGTTAAAGCACAGGCGAGAATTGGGCTCATCGGATTTCAGAAGTTAAGCAAGTGAAGCCCAGAGAGCAATTGGATGTGAAACCGCCAAGAATCTCCAACTTCCAGCTGGGACCGACAAAGGAGTCCCTTGACCCCCTAAACAAGCCAATGCAGCCGCTCAGAACAGATGATGATACCTGGCTAGGTAGGCTGAGGGGCTGGCTTGGTACATGGCCGCTTCCTATATTCCTACCTAACATTGACACATACACCCCAGGCCTGGCTTGGAATAGTCGGTCCCCCATATTCAGCCTGTTCCTCCCCCGTTCCACCCCTTTGTAGGAGAGAGCGAGCAAGAGATGCTGCAGCCAGCATCATTCCCATGACGTGAATCAATGTAGATGGCTGTATAGTACATGAAAAAAATAAGACATCCCCTGAAAATAAGCCCTATTGCGTTTTTTGGAGCAACAATTAATATAAGACCCCGTCTTATTTTCGGGTAAACAGAGTAGGTTATGCTGTTCACACACAGAATCCCAGGGAAATTTACCATCACCACGGTGATACTTATAATGAACTAGACTAGAACTTATCACAGGACGCGATGCACTTGTGCTATGAGCCATACTCCTTGCCCAGGAAAGCCATTTTAAATATTCTGAGTTTTAAAACTGGTTTACTTTCATATTTGGATTACCATTTTTTTAGACAATTCCCTGAATCTTCCACCCAGCATGACTAGCAGGAGTCCCCCCCCCCAAAAAAATAACATCCAAGTTCTGGTGGTTCGTCACCCCAAGCGTTCCTTGTGGAAAAGTGGGATACGGGTGTAACAAACAGAATGACATCGACCGAATGCCCCAACTGACTTTAATCATGGGCAAGGCATATTGCCAGGTCCAAAAAAATTAAAATAAAATAAAAAAATCCAGCATGAAGAGATGTGACAGAGCAAGTATGAGAGGCACTGCAGGACAGAAATGGTGGGAGCCCTCCTGTAAGGGGAGCAGGTGTCTTCATCCAGCTGTTCCACATGCGATCGGATCTTCGGCCCTTTCCATTCAAACAGTGAACAGGAAAAAAGCTCAAAGCCAGTACTTGGGAGACCTTCACAAGTTGGAGGGCCAGCTCCGCCATCTGGTGCAAGGCGACCCCTTCTGCCTCAGCTCCTTGGGAACCCAAAACCCACTGTAGAAGGCAACTTGTGAACGGAAGCCACTGTGGTCACCACTGGGTGGCTGTCTTTGCTTGTAGATGTTCTTTTTCGAGAGAGTTGCAGGAGCAAGGGGACAGGAAGAGAAGAGACAGAGAAGGGAAAGGCCTTTGTGAGTAAGGAAAGCACGGCCCATCAGCTGGAAACAGCCCTCTGCCTCCCGTTTCAAGTGCTGATTGTCCTTCGCTTGGCTCCTGTTTTCACATCACGAAGCTGTTGTGTCGCCAGACCTGTTGCCCTGCAATGTAGGTCGCCTGGACATGGAGGTGGTCGTCCAGCAACAAGAAATCTGTAGGAGACAAGAAACCATGTCATTGGCCAAGGAAATAGGATCCACTGGGCCAAGGGCTCAAAAGCCCCCCCCCGGTGCCACTTTCTCTGACGTTTTTACAAAGACAATGCTTGTTAAAGGCTGATGCACAAACAGTGGCCACAGAAACGGATGTCAGAGGTGCCTTCTCTTGCATTGGGAACAAAGGTTCTTAAAGGTGTTGCTTGACCTTTTAAAATCCACACTTCGTTTTGATAAAAACTAATAATCTCATGTCCTCTGCAAATGGGTCTCTCAAGTCCCTACAAGTCAAGACATAGGTAGGGGTTCAGAAAAATCTTTTTTACATTAATTCCAGCTAGACATGGGATATTGGTCTCCCTGGGGATACGAACACAGACGGCAGCATCTCGGAAGCCACTGGAGCACAGAGGTGGGACAGGGAGCTGCTCCCTGCTCGGTTGATGAGCATTGGCTAGGCAGGGAAGAGGTGGCCGGGCTTCTCCGGCAATTGGCGCAACCAAAACGACAATGGAGCCGAGCACGTGCCGCGAACGGTGAGTGGACCGGCTGGTTTCTAGGGGAGAGAAGGGATCTCCACGGCACTGGTGGTGCTGCTATTCATATTCGTATCCACAGGGATACAGATACAAATAGCCCACAGCTAGCAACAGCATAACTTGGAGATAAGCAAAAACGCAACAGGTAGGCTACTAAGTGTTGCAGGATGATGCACGAAGCTGTGTCCTAAGGAAGCAGCAAGCTGGTTCTCCCCTCCCCGCATTTCATCCCCACAGCAACCCTATCAGGTGTGCTCAGCCGAGTGAGGATGTGACTAGCCCATGGCCATCCAGTGGCTAGCAAGGAATTTGAATCCAGCATTCCCAAGTCCCTCCCAGTGCATCATCCTCACCCCTACTTTCTAGATCCTCAAGCAGAGTTTTTTCTCATCAATCACCAGCTCCCCTCCCCCCACATAACTGGAGAAACTGGAGATGGAGCCTGAGACCTGGGCTCCACCACGGAACAAGGGTCACTGCCAATTCAGGATGAACCGCTGAATGAGCACATCTTAGTCTCCGCACCCGCTTTCCATGGCATGGCCTACAGGTTACGGGCCCCCGGTAGCTACAGCCAAGCAAGTCTGAAGCGGCTCATTACGGAGGCTACCTCGGTACCGCCCCCATGGCAAATACCTGCGTCAGTGTCATAGTCCAAGGTACCCTTCCTGTCCTCAATTTTCAAGAGCTGAGCAGGATGGAGGGAAGCAGCCTCCAATGCTGTTTCCACAGAGCACCCTGCGCACTCACAAAAAAAGAAAGAAAGAGGGGGGCAGGAGGTGTTATATTACTATCTGCAGAAGAAAAGTATTACTTGCTTAGACAAAAATAGAGGTGGGCATGAACCGCTGGTTCATTTTTCAGCTGGACAGGTATTCGGAGCTTCCCAGCCCTGCCTCTTCAGAGGCAGCGCCTGGAACAAGCAGGGCAGGGAAGCCAGTGGCACTGTGGGTGCCTGCTGGAGGAGGCAGGGCAGGGAGGGCAGGGGTGCTGTGGGCACCTACTGGAGGAGGCAGGGCAGGGAGGGCAGGGGTGCTGTTGGCGCCTGCTGGAGGAGGCAGGGCAGGGAAGCGCCAAACACCTCTTTAGCTGAAAAATGAACTGGCAAAAACTGCCAAACAGGCAGTTCCTGCCCAACTCTAAAGAAAAAGGCTTTTAAATCGCCCACGTTAGAGCCAAATCATGGAATGTGAAATGATACAAAAGCTGTCAAACTGTCCATGGTAAAATTAGGGGGCCCTGTTTGGACACTCTTAAGAACAAACACAAATAGCTCGTGACATTTAGACCCATTTATCTCATCTCACAACCACTTCACAACGCACACATTATTTCACACATAATTTTCTCTTGTTTTCTGCAATTCAGTCAAAGATATCACTGAGAAGGAAGGATGTTGAATCTGCTATGACAAGGGCCACCCCTACGAGAGGAATGAATGAAAAGCCAGAGAGCTTTTGGTAGCCTGGGTGAAGGAGAAGCATCCCTCAGGTCTGGTCCTTTTACAGGGGAGAGACCTTACCTGTCGCTTCCCTGAAATGCCGAACGCAGGTGTCCATGGTTGCGACGCTGCCACTCAGAGTTTTGGTCCCTGGATTGGGGGGAGGCAGCAGGAACCGGGGGAGGGGGGTGGAGAAGGTCAGAATTAATTGCAAAATTGTTTAAAAGGAAAATATACAATCCAAGCGTGACCTGCAAGTCAACATGCCTAAGGACTGTACTGCATTGTTGAAACAGAAATAAATCTACCTGTGTGCTATTGATCTGTCAGTAAAAATGTTTACGTACCGGATGAAGAAAATGGCCGCCCGCAGCATTTTTGCGCCGATTCCTCACTTACCAAGGCGGCGAAAATGGCAGCCGTATAGGGAATCTTCGCATAATGGTGAGTTTTGTCCCCATAGGAACGCATTAAACACTGTTTAATGCGTTCCTATGGGGTTTTTTGCCCCGTATAGCGACGTTTCCAGATAGCGACGATTTATCCGGAACGGATTATCGTCACTATGCAGGGCACCACTGCATTTCTGGTTTTTGTTCAGTATTTCTGGCAGCAGTGGATCAGTGGATACTGATCCCGGGGATGGGGGGGGTGTCCCACTGTAACATACTGAGGTTGCAGCCTCCCCTGCAATTGGTACCACCCATAATTCCATGCTACAACTCCCATCAGCTCCACAAAAGCCAGCTCTGCAGGAGAGAGCATCCAGGGCTCCGTTTCCAGCCGCAGACGGTGGACACTCACCTGCAATGTAGCTATTGAGCCCATCCATCTCAATCACTTGTTGGCCCAACGTATGCCTGCCTGGAGCAAGCCCCATTGCTGTGATGGCATCTGTCACCAGGATCAGCCCTAAAGAAACAGATTTGGCCCCATCTGGTCCATACGAATGAGTGAGAAACACAGGCGGGGGCTGATTTAGCCCTAAGAACTAAAGAACTTCAGAGTTTCCTCCCTCGCGGCAACAAACCTTTAGGGTGAGCCCGGTGTGCAATCCGCAGAGCGGCCGGGTTTGTGTGGATCCCATCAGAGATCATGCCATAGAAGACTTGCCGACCTGGGGGAATCTGGTCACTTGTGAGGAGCCCCACGATTCCAGGATCTCGATGGTGGAACTGCACGGACAAAACATTGGCGAAGAATACACCAGTAACCGTGGCACCCGGCAGAGATGCTGAGCTGCCACACCCATCATCAGATCCAGCAGCCTAATGACCCCCCCAAGGACTGGGAATCATGGGAGTTTCTGTCTAAGATTTCTGATTGGAAGAGGCTGGTTTAATGCCAAACGAGCCATTAAAGGCGGGGTCTATAAGACTAGGATGGGGACCCCAGGGTGCAAAACCTCTTTCAGCCTGAGGGCCAGGCTCACTTTCAGTGACGGACTTAAGAGGCTGCACTCCTAGGATGGCTGGAACCAAAGGCCAAACAACGGGATCAAAAACGTCAACACAATTGCGCTTAAAGATCTCGGAGAGACAAACCAAGTATTAGGAGAGTCATTTAACCTTTTTAAAGTGGGGGGGGGGGTTGAAATTTATTCAGAGGCTTTCAGGCATATTTTGTGGCAAGCATTTGGAGAAATCCTAGAGGCCCTCTAGATTGGGACCCCCCATCCTTGGGGGTCCCAATCTAGAGGGCCAGACTGGGACCCCAGAAGGCTAGTTTTGAAGGCTGAGGCTCCCCATCCCTGGCCTGGTGAAAGGTCCCAGCCAGAGGCGTCTTGGAATCTGCTGGGATATGATCTCACCCGTAGAACAAGATAAACCTGCCCAAACGCTGCCTTCTTGGTCTAAGAACAACTGGCCAGTAATTGAGACAGAGCCTTTTCAGTGCTGGCCCTCAGCTGGGAGATTTGCCTAGTCTCAACTTTAACATCAGGCAAGAATGCTTCTATTTGGCCCCCAGGCGTTCTAATAAGATTGTTCTTGTGATTTCATACTGTTTCCAAGATTGGTTTGTTATGGTTGTTGTGGGTTTTTCAGGCTCTTTGGCCGTGTTCTGAAGGTTCTTCTTCCTAACGTTTCACCAGTCTCTGTGGCCGGCATCTTCAGAGTGCTGCTGTCCTCTGAAGATGCCGGCCACAGAGACTGGCGAAACGTTAGGAAGAATAACCTTCAGAACACAGTCAAAGAGCCTGAAAAACCCACAACAACCATTAGATCCCGGCTGTGAAAACCTTCGCGAATACATTGTTTTGTTAGGTACTACTCTGAACATCTCTATTGAAGAGCGGCCAAACCATGTTTTAAACAGACCAACCAAGCAACAAAAATATGTGACTCCCCTTTTAATCCAAAACATGGTGGCTGAATTACTTTACTTGTATAAAGTAATCTGTGCTTAATAATTAACTGTGCATCTCTTTTGATTGCCCCTGAAATTAAACAAATTTTCATACACCTCCTTCGTTCCACTCTGGTTCAGACAGGCATGTATGGACAAGTTGGTCCACGCACAGCCCTGACGCTGTATCTCTTGACGGCTAGTGCCGCCCGGTAGCCCATGCAAGTGATCCCTAGGAATTCACATGTCGCTGTCCTTAAACTTGTAGGACAGGTGCTAGAAATGGAAGGCACGTCTTTGTCTAGATGTTGACTTACAGGCAACATGGCATTGAAGAGGTGGGTGATGAAGGTGGCCCCATGCCGAACAGCTTCCTCAGCTTGAGACAGATTGGCCACAGAGTGACCTAGAAACACAGACAACTAGGATGTGAGACAATCGTCCATCATGACGAGAACTGCATTTGATTCTGAAGAACTGCTGCCTCGCTTCCTTTGTTATTTTTTTTTCCTATCGATTCATTTATCTATTAAAAATATTTCTTACTTGGTCCCAAAGGGACACGTGATCACAACAAAACAACCTTTAAAAACAGATAGAAACAGTTTGAAAACTGATTTTAAAAGCCAACCATTCTTGAAACAAAGATGAACACTTCAATGAAGTCAGCTTTATAATTACTTTCGCACACCAAAGTCTGCTCGAAACAATATAGTCTTGGTCGCCCTCTGGAAACTCGTAAGAGACATGACTCTCAGGAAGAAACTGGCTTCCCTCTACACACTCTTCCTTTTTTCACGTCACATATTTTGGACCAGAGAGCGCCAGTGAAGTGTAATGGACAGAGTCAAAGAATCACAGAATAATGGAATTGGAAGGGGTCCATAAGGCCATTGAGCCCAACACCCTACTGGAAGCAGGAATCGAAATCAAAGTAGATCTGACAAATGGCTGTACAATTTTCTCTTCAATGCTTCCAGGATTGGACAGCTCACCACCTCCTGAGGTAATTAGCTCCATTTTCATGCTGCTTTAACAGTTGAGAGGTTTTTCCTGATACTCAGTCTAAATCTGGCTTCCTGTAGCTTGAACCCACTGGTACTTATCCTTCACTCTGGGATGATCAAGAACAGATCCTGCCCTTCCTCTGTATGACAGCCTTTCAAGTGTTTGAAAAATGCTGTCTGTGTGATGGACTAGGACTCGGGGAGGACCATGGAAATATTGTTAGAAAATGATCATTCCCAGACCCCAACGCTTACCTAGTGACACACAGATGCCCCGCTTGGTAAGTTCCTGGATCACCTCACTGCTCCTCTTCATCTCAGGTGCCAAGGTGACGATACAGACGCTGTCCAGGCAGCCATACGTCGCTAGCAATTCCTGGAAGGCTCCCTTCTCAAAAGTGCGAAGACAGTGTTCGGGGTGAGCCCCCCTCTTCTCCTTGCTTATGAACGGCCCTTCCAAATGAACTCCTACTCCAAGTCAAGAGAAAGAGAAGTTTGATAATAGGGTCACAGAAACATTCCCTCCCCCCTGTATTCTGAACTCTCATTATCCCTTTCGTTGACATGCCGGCTGGAAAGCTAAAGTTGGAAACACCTCAAGGAGCAAAGGTTCCTCAGCCCAGTTTTAGAAAGAGGTTGTAGCTGTCGTATGTTGCCCCCTTTGCTTGGGCTAAGGTAAAGTGAACGAGTTCTGTGGTGCTTCACGCTTTTCTATTCCTGAAATCCTTTACTTGAAAATAGTGAATTTTTTGAGTTATAGATACCAAGCTTCTACCACCACCACAACATCTGCATTCGAAAGGGGCACAATCCTGTGAGGGTTTAGTACCACATGAATTTCCCCCATGTTCACACAAGGGTGGCCCATCCTTTTCCACAAGCGTGCGCAGGCCAAGCCCAAAGTAAAAACTCGTACTACTCTGGGGACGGTCCGAACATAGCCGCTTCCACCACATCCCTTGAGCTTGTAAAAAAACCAGGAGACTCCTCTCTCCCTCATGCAGGGGCGGAAAAGCGGTGGGTCTCCAAAGACTTTGGACTTCAGCTCTCACCAGCCCCAGCCAACATGGCGGGTGGTGAATGATGATTGGAGTTGTGCTCAAGAACCTCTGAAGAGCCAAAGGTTTCTCACCCCATTTTCCAAGGTAAGCAGTACCACTGGTCACAGATGGTGGATAAGGCATTACAGGGCAGCTACTGCAAGAGAAACAGTTGTTTCTTACTCACCTAGGATACCGGTGGATAAGGCACACAGGGCAGCGGCCACAAGACAAACAGTTGTTTCTTACTCACCTAGGATACCAGCTCCATGAGGTCCTCCATTTTTCACCTGGATCTGAGGTAGCACCTGGTAGGAAGGTGGAGCAGAGAGGCCATTTGCCTGCTGATCCAAAGGCCTTGCCCCTCCTGCCATGTGTGCCTTGACTCCAGTACCCTTGAGGTCCTTAATCTTTCAAATTTTCTATCCCATTAATGACAGAGTTAAAAAATCTGGGTCTCACCACGATGGAAATGAGAACACCTATCATTCCCAGGTAGAACACCGGTATGCTTACAGGCATACTGTGACCATAGTAATCGTTTACAGCTATTTTTACAAAGATAAACATTGCAGCAGTATTGCTGGGACTAAATGCAAACCAACAGAAGTACAGTGGTGCCCTGCATAGCGACGTTAATCCGTTCCGGATTAATCGTCGCTATCCGGAAACATCGCAATGTGGGCAGGAAAACCCCAAAGAAACGCATTAAACTTTGTTTAATGCGTTCCTATGGCATGAAAACTCACCGTTATGCGAAGGTCCTCCATAGCGCCGCCATTTTCGCTGCCTCGGTAAGCGAGGAAATTGCGTGAAAATGGTTGCGGCGGCCATTTTGGGCCCCCGGCGGCCATTTTGGAACCGCCAATCAGCTGTTTTAGAAACATCACAATGCGATGTTTTGCCCATTAAAACATCGCAATGCGATCGCATTAGCGATCTCAAAAAATAGATCGCTATGCGGATTCGTCATTAAACGGTGCGCTCGTTATGCGAGGCACCACTGTACTGTTTTTCTGCCCATCCGGGCAGCCCTTCAGTATCCCCCCCGCCCCCAATTTACCTTGTGGTATACAGATTGTGGAGAAGTCACCAGCGTTGGGCAGAAGGAGGTTACTCCATGGGACAGTATCTTCTGACCCACCAGTGAGATTCCTGCTCCCACGTCATCCGTTGCCACGGAAAAATCCACTCCAAAACCTCCTAAGCCAAAAAAAGGGATACAGAAATGGAAAGTGGATCCCCTAGAAACTCTGGCAACAAAATATAAATGTTATGTACGTGGATATCTGCCTGGTGCATAATATGGATAGAGGGATATTTCCCCACTTTCTAACCCTAAAAGCTATCTGCTTTAGTTTTTGAAAGTAAGCCTATCTTTTTCTTGTCCCTCTGCTTATGATCAGGGCCTGTCCTTGTACACAGTAAGCAATATGGAACGAACATCTGATGCCAACTGAAACAGGGCTTAACAGTCATACAATCGTGGAGCCCGCATCGGAATTTTCAGTCATTAAGAAAAACACCCAATTGCAGCTCATAATTATGCAGAATTTGCCTTTCTTTCGACTTACTGACTAAACTATTCCTGTTTTCTGTGGCCACATATTCATGATGATGTTTTGGAAAAAAAAAATAACAATAATAACCTTTGAATTGCAGAGCTGGAAAAAAAAAATTAACAATAATAACCTTTGAATTGCACAGCTGGAAAGGACCCTATGGATCACGAAGTCCAGCCCATGTCAAAGAAACACCGTAGGGGAATCAAACTCCCAGCCTCTGGTTTCAAAGAAACACCATAGGGGAATCAAACTCCCAGCCTCTGGGTCCACAGCCAGATGCGTAAACCACTGAGCTTTCCAGCAGTATGAAGACACCGATTCTGGCATGGTCTGTGCCTGCACATTGCACAGTTTTCTACTCCTATCAGATCAAGGTGTGAAACACTGTTGGATGACCATCACCCAGCCTAGTCAAGGATAAAGGCCGTTTGGAACTGAAGCCTAGGAATGTCCGGTTGGCCGTGTTCCTTCTTATCCTCGGCTTCCAGACAGGTTATCCCCAGCGTTCACCCCTTACCATTGATTTGCACATCAATGAAGCTCAGCGTTCACCCCTTTGAGAACAACTCCAGCGCCTTACCATTGATTTGCACATCAATGAAGCCAGGTGCAATGATGCTGCCCTTGCAGTCCAGTCGGACATCTGCAGGCTTCTTCTCATCAAAGAAGAGTTTCTCTGGATTTAAGATCCTCCCGTCTCTCACCCACAGGTCCTCCCTGGAAACAGAAGCAAGCAGTAAGCCAGTTCTCAGGCACCTCCGTGGGGAAAGGTTCAGGTCTCCGACCCTGGACAAAAAGGGGCCAACGACCGTCCTGGGAGTGGTCTCAAAAACAACCACCACTGTTGTGGATGGAGCACCCCATCCTGATTTTCAAGCAGCAGGTGCAAAGGACCAACATTCTTTGAGATGACTGTTCTGTACTTTTTCAGCAGATAAAAGACTAAATCCCCTTGAGGAAAAAAAATCTGAAAGAAAAAGCAGGGGTCCTCACCTTTGCAGTTCATGATTCCTCAAAATCCAGCAATTGGTAAACTGGAAGACTGGAAGGTCCGCGGTGGATTTCTCAGAGAGCATCATCCACACAGGAAGGGGATGCACCTGGACGGGATGAGGTCAAGGGAGCAGGGAAGGAAGAAATAGATGCAGAGAAGAAATGGGAGACAAGCACCACCACTCGGACCAGGAAGAAGACATGAGGATGCACGGAACAATCTACAGGAGATTAGTAAGAGATCGTCTAGAATTTTTGCTTCCAAAAAGCCAGAAAAGTTACCCTCACATGCTGATTGGGCTATTGAAACTAAGAAAAGTATAAGAATTAAAAAAAACCCAATCAACTAAAGAGGTGATTCTAACCTTTACAGTTTGGGACTGTATTATTATTACTATTGTTGTCGTTATCATCTTAGAACTGCAGAGCTGGTAGGGACCTTATGGTTCATTGAGTCCAGCCTTTCTCAAAGAGGCTCAGCTGGAAATCGAACTCCCAACCTCTGGCTCCACAGTCAGAGATCTAAACCCACTGAGCATTTTGGCAGTTCTTCTCTGAAAAGACAGACATGACCAAATGGACCTAGTCACATTTAAAATATTGGCTTCAGAGGCTCTATTTACTGGCAGGGTGGAAAAGATGAAATTGGCAGATATTAGGCATAGGTCTGTCTGACGGTGGCTCCAAAATTGTGAAACGCTCCTCTAGGAAGGACCATACTTTGGGAAATGCAAGGACTCCCTATACCCACCAACAAAACACCCCAGACTTTCAGGGAAGATTTTATTGGTTCTAGCACTCTTTTCGTCCCAGTTTGTTTAAATATTTTTTTTAATTTTAAACTGTGATTCACTGTTGTATTTGTTCTTTAATCCTTCCAGCAATATTGTGGAAATCTTATTTTGAAAACCTGCCTAATAAATACCCAGACTAAAACAGTATCTTCATTTTCACTCTTTTTGCTTAAAAAAATCATCATCAGACAATATGTGAACTTTTGTGGATCAAGGGTGATCCAGGGGGTGATTTTTAAAGTGGTCTATAAAAGTATCATAGTATCAAGGTTTGCATAGTCAATGCTATGGTTTTTCCTGTAGTGATGTATGGAAGTGAGAGCTGGACCATAAAGAAGGCTGACCACTGAAGAATTGATGCTTTTGAACTGTGGTGCTGGAGGAGACTCTTGGACTGCAAGGAGAACAAACCTATCTATTCTGAAGGAAATCAACCCTGAGTGCTCCCTGCAAGGACAGATCCTGAAGCTGAGGTTCCAATACTTTGGCCATTTCATGAGAAGAGAAGACTCCTTGGAAAAGACCTTGATGTTGGGAAAGTGTGAAGGCAAGAGGAGAAGGGGACGACAGAGGACGTGGTGGTTGGACACTGTCATTGAAGTGACCAACCTGAATCTGACCCAACTCCGGGAGGCAGTGGAAGACAGGAGGGCCTGGCGGGCTCTGGTCCATGGGGTCACCTAAACCAGTGGTCCCCAAACTTGGCCTCCAAATGTTTTTGAACTACAACTCCCAGAAGCCTTCACCACCACCACCTCTGCTGGCCAGTGTTTCTGGGAGTTGAAGTCCGAGAACATCTGGAGGCCCAAGTTTGGGGACCACTGACCTAAACAACAACATAAAAGTATCGCCTGCTCTTCCCTTTGCATCTTACTTTGTATTGACCACAAGCTAACGTGGGAACAACATTTTCTGTTCAGGGACGGCTGATCTCCGGAGTTCGCCCCCTATTGACCCTAAAGATCCAACTGGCCCCCGCCAAGTGAAAGGAGAAAGGATCGGGACGGGATCCAGGCCAGCGTCTCTAATGGGAACCGAGGAGCGGGGGTCGTATCCTGCTAACTCCCGCCACTCTGGTCAAGGTAGTGACAGCCCCGCCGGCGTCTGCCTGAAATGACTATCAGGATCTGCACGCACCCTCTCCCCGCGGGCGAGGGCTCCTGCTCCAGGGAAAGAGACAGACAGGCAGGCAGGCAGGCAGACATCCCACCCAGCCAGCCAACAGATCCCCGGGCAGCCTTACCCGGCAGCTTCCCCCGGTGGCGGCTCCTCCGGCGCCCAGCTTCTTCTTCGACTGCCTGTCGCTCTCCACCAGCCCCGGTCTGGGTCACGTGCCCCCTCCTGGGCTCCTCAGCTGATTGCTCAGGAGGGGGGGAGGAGGCACGTGAGCGGCCCCCGCGGGGCCGCCATCATGGGGAGGGCAGCGAAGGCGAGCCCCGGCCGCTGCTGCTATTGCGGGCCCCGCCTCCATCTTGAGGAGGTCGCGGGGAGGGCGGGCCGGGAAGCTGGGAAGGGGCGGGGCGTCAGGAAGAGGCGCCTTGGGCTTTATTTAGGACGCCTTTGGTGCCTCAGTGGGACTCTCAAGGCGGCTCACAAATTATTATTTTTTTAAAAAAAGGGTGTAAGAATAACAGCATACAAAAGAAATTAAACAAAGTATTAAACGGACGTTCTCCTATAAAACAATTTAAGATATAGGAAGGCATTTAAATACGGCGGGGCGTCAGGAAGAGGCGCCTTGGGCTTTATTTAGGACGCCTTTGGTGCCTCAGTGGGACTCTCAAGGCGGCTCACAAATTATTATTTTTTTAAAAAAAGGGTGTAAGAATAACAGCATACAAAAGAAATTAAACAAAGTATTAAACGGACGTTCTCCTATAAAACAATTTAAGATATAGGAAGGCATTTAAATACGCATGAAAAAAGGAATCTACCAGAGGGAGGCTGTGAGGAAATACTATGATCTAGATTGGGAACAAATAGTGATCTGGCCAGTGGATATAATTGGAGCTTCAGTTGGCCTACAAGGCTCTTGGGGCCCCTGGTTGGGAGAAATAAATAAAACGAACAAAAAATAAATAAGCGAATAATCTCCCTCCACTTAAATCTGCCTTTTTAATCATCATAACCCAGTGAAAGGGGCTAGGCTAAAAGATAAGGTCTGGTCCAAGCACCCCATTAGGGAAGCTGGCTTTGGAGAGGAGAAGGGGCCCAATCCACTGGGAGAACTATTCCGGGATAGTTTCCATGTGGATCTCTCCTCAGTCTTAGTCCCACCCTCCGTACCATTTTGGCTGTGTTCAGTTTATATATATATATAGCTGCTTTGGGGGATTTTATATATTCATACAGTATATATAATGGTCTGTTGGCGCTTGTTCTTTCAGTCCCTTAAAGCAGCTAGATTGAACCACTGAACCACGGAATAGATAACAGGAGCAAAGCAATTTGACTTTTGGACTTTCACCCATGGCCTGTGGCTTCATGATAAAGGCAGATTTCTGCCCTTTGGGATAGTGCAGGGAGCTTTGCGGTTGGATTTTCTGCAGGAAAAAGAGCAAATCTGGTGCCTCAGAGGCAGGGATCTCAGCTCTTATGTGGTAGAGTTGAACAAACAGAATATTCTGTTTTCCTTTGTTCCTGTAGAGACACTCACTTAACATGCTGACATGTGAGATAAAGGTGCCTGAGTGCCCGCCTGTGTGTGCTTCTCCCAGCTGTTCTGTTTAATTGAGCTGGTGTAGCTGCAGAAAAGCGGGGAGGTAATAATGGTAATTCTCTTTTGCAGAATTGTCCGTTGTGTTGCAGCAAAAGCAATGAAGAATCTTAAAGACTTACACAGTTGCCGTTTGCTCAGCTTTTCTGTGTGCTTGAATTTTTGCTGTATTCCTCACAGGATAATGGTAGCTAAGTATCCTCGGCATAAGAGACAGGAATTTCTGCACACAAATGGCTTTCCTGGCGGAAATTATTATTGTGTAAACTCTCGTGTGGTCATAGGAATTATTTTTACCATATACCTCACTCTTTGTAAATGCCTTACAAGTTGTGGTATAAACTAATTACGACTATTTAAAGAACAATACATTATCAATAAAACATCACACAAGTTGTAAAGCCAATCATAATTGGAATAAAAGAGACGCTTAGCGAGAAAAATTGGACTGTGTAGGAAACCACTATTACAAAACAGTGCACCTTCTGTGGGGATCTGAGAAGCAGCTTTGGAGAATGACAGTTGATCGGCTTGGCTCACTAGCTGAAGTGCTATCCACCGCCTGAAGGATTTCTAGACAATCGGCCTGGCATCTTAATAAGAGCTTCTGATATAATAGGGCCTGTCCAAACCAGCTGTTGTTTCGGGTTGGAATTGTGGCCCTTCCCCCCCCCCCATTGTTCTGGATTTACTCGTTAAGACTTCCTTACCTGTAGTCAATTTTCTTTGAATATAGTCCAGATTTTCTTTGAATATAGTCCATACCGTAACACCTCTCCTCCCTTAATATCCTTCCCATTCTCTAGTCTGTGCCAACCTGTCTGTTTTCTGCCCTTGATATTGCCTGATTGTGTAGTAGATGTTGCTATTGTGTGGTTTCTTCTTATAATGGAGAGTTTAAAGGGAAGCTTAGAGCCATTAGCATGCACGCACACACACAAAATGGGCAACTGAGCCCCCTCTTAAGCAGGAGCAAATAGGACGTGCTGGTAGGTTTTTAGTGATGACGTGAAGAAGAACAAGCCAAAGACTGAGTCACCCAACCTAGAGGATGCTGCAAAAGAAATAGATGGTTTCCTTTCTACTTGTATTGCTGCCATGGTCACTGCTAATGGAATACTTTCATCCTGATCCCATTCCCCACCCCCAAGGCACAACAGCCTTCAGTGCGAGTTTGTAGCATCACCAAACACTTGCTGCTTGTTCAGCTTCTTGGTGTGACTGAATTTTTGCTGTATTTTTCACAGGATGATGGTGGTTAATATGAATATCCTTGGCATAAGAGACAGGGACGTGGCTGAAGATTCCTAGGAGCATGACTAGTAAGGCACACTCCGTTCATTATGGGTAGCCATGTGAAGTGTTTCCCTGTTTACTCGTTAGGCACATGTTAGAAACCTAATGTAAGTTAATAATGGCTGAACAACAGAAAGAAAGCAGTTCTGGGTGCAATTGTTGCCAGGGTCTTCGGCAAAGTATCATTGGTGCTTCACGACTCCCTTCAGCGTGCCTGCTTCCTCCACTGTTAGGAGACACTCCTGTCGCTTGACGAAAATATTAATTTGCAACCTCAATGCTGTCCATAGTTTGAGTGATGGACACTTCTGCGCTGGGGTGATTCATATTCTTTCTCCTATAAGCGTCTCAGAGTGCGTTTGAGTTAAAACTGCTAGCTAGAGAAAACCCAATGTTTGTAGGCTACTATGATGCACCCTGGGCAGAGGATAGTACAGTTCATAAATCCACTAGTGGTATCTCGTTCGTGTATAATGATGGTCCCGTTTCATGGGCTAGCTTTGTCTTCCAAGAGTCTGACTTTGTTCCTGCAGTTGAAGCATGCAGAGAACTATGGTCAGATAACTGCTATGGTGAGATAAATGAAAAGATGCCAGTCCAGGTGATGAGACAACCAGAGCCGCATCAAACTATCACAAAATAAGAAAATTAAACCATGCACCAAACACGTTGGTGTGAGATGCCGCTTAGTGAGTGACTTGACCGAGATAGGCACCAACATGATCTACTGTCATACCAGAGATGGCAGCAGACATCCTTACCAAGCCTTGTGGTTGTTGTGGGTTTTTCGGGCTCTTTGGCCATGTTCTGAAGGTTGTTCTTCCTAACGTCCTCTGAAGATGCCAGCCACAGAGACTGGCAAAACATTAGGAAGAACCATCTTCGGAACACGGCCAAAAAGCCCAAAAACCCCACAACAGCCATTAGATCCTGGCTGTGAAAGCCTTCGCGAGTACATTACCAAGCCTTGTCTGAGAGACTGCTTCAGAACTTGTGCAATAAGATGTGACTGCAGGCGATGACTGCATGAGAATTTGAGAAAGGGTATGGAAGTTTTCTTTACAACTTTGCATGCTGTTTGTACTTTGAGTGACCAAGAGGCTTTTCTGGGCAGGGGCAATTGTCTGTCTGTCCACCACTAACCAATCATTTCTTCCAACTTTTGAAATTCAGAGAGCCCTGCCTCTCTGGTGTTTCATCCCCCTCTTTTGTCAGTTGGTGGCAGTTTTTTTTTTTTTAACTGTTATCTGCATAGCTGGCTCCTAGTTTGTGTGCAGTAAAGAAAGCAGTACACATGTCTGTAATTTCAAACAACTGTAAGCAAAGAAATATTTCTCTCTTTCTCCTACATGTGTCTCAGAGTGATAATCTATTGTAACTTTAAATGCCAATTAATGAGAAAGGGTTTTCCTCACTCATCAGGAAATGGGCTGCTCCATGTACTGCATTGGACTGTCTCTCCAGGCAGTGAAGTACTGGACTAGATTCAACTACTGAAGCTGGAGGTTGGGTCCTCAGACAGGAAGGGCTAGAAGCTTTCCTGTAGGGCTGGAATTTTACCTGAACACAACAGTCTAGTGGGGTTCACTTGTAAACCAGACCTGTATCTCCTTACCCACGGACCCCATCCCATGTCACTGAGGCAAAGGAGAGGAGTGATGGACAAGCATTGGTTATGGAGTGGCCTTTCCTGTAGGGTTGGAATTTTACCTGAACACAATAGTCTAGTGGGCTTCACTTGTAAACCGGACCTGTATCTCACTCCTTACCCACACACCCCATCCCATGTCACTGAGCCAAAGGAGAGGGGTGATGGACAAGCATTGGTTATGGAGTGGCAGTCCAGAAGGCTCTGGTGAGGATGTACTTAATGACGTACCCAATGTTGCTGAACTGGAGGTTGCCTTTGATATGACAACCATACTCAGAGGCTTTGAATATGGCATTCTCTCTCAGTCCCTTTTTGATTACATGATGACATTCTAGTGAGGCAGAAAACAGAGGAATGTCCTCAAGGATGTATGAGAGGTACTGTAATGGCTTTCCTTGTTCCCAGTGACGATGGTCTTGCTTTTAATTCCCATCTCTCTTGGAGGAGATGAAAGATCTGAACAATGATGGCTATCATTGGGAACATAATTGACACAAACAGAATTTTACATCAAGGCTGTTGTAAAGCACCTAGACAATATCTGTTGTTGCTGCTGCCATCGCCGCTTCCTTCCCCTCCCCCCTTTTTTTGTCTGTTTCTCCCTCCCTCTTTTCTCCTCTGCATGACTGACTCATTCTGCAGTATACGTAGCTTCAATGAAATATCAAAACAAGGCAATCTGTTCAAGTACCTCTTAAAAGCTGGGGAGTGTTCTCTTCACTAGGAAATTATCTCCAGCCTTTTTTCTTTCTTGATTAGATACTGCTAAGACTGACGTGTCATAACCCCTGGTGTCCCCGACACAAGCAGATCTGAGCAAAAACTTCATTGGCAAGGTGGGAGCAATTCTCTCTAGTGCAATTTGTGAGGCTGCAAAGGTTCTGCAGTGAAGGAGCAAATGAGTCACCCGCTTCTCAGTGGCCCAAGTTGCTGGAGATGTCTCAATGTAACGCAGAGACAGGTCACTCTGATTCATTCTTCTTAAGATGCACCAGTGAGGCCCAGCAGGAAGGAGTGGCAGGAGGGACAGGAAAAAATTGCTTTATTTCAGCTCCTGCATCCTACTTTCTATGCTCTGTTTTACACGATGTTTTATTTCTGTGGCTTTGCTTATTCTTGCATCCTTTGCATTTCTTATATAATGCTCATTCAATCATTTTAATATTTAGCATTGATATTTGGGTAAACACATTGGCACTACTAGTTATTTTAAAATCACATGGAGGTAGAAGTCTAATTCCTCCCCCCCCCTTGTCAAATCAAAGTAACTGAAAGGGACAAATGGCAGAATACAGACACAACAGCTGAAATCTAGCAGTAAGCTGCAACTAGAGGAAGTCCACTGATATCAGCCAGTATCTCCTTCACCACTGAAATGCAGTGCATATGGATGTTTTGGACTCTGTTCAGCTACAAGTCCTTACGGAAAGGGAAGCTTGGAGAATTACAACTGGAAGCCATACTCTTAATTGCTACCCTTGTGTCGCATTGACCAAGTTAGACTAGCTTGCAAACTGCATGCATGAACACTCAAGTGTTGTAACTGCCCACCTCTCCAACGAATCTCATCAAGAGAAATGTCATTAAAATGATGTAGTGGAGGAAATTTTATTATCTGGAAATGTATAACTGCGAAACCCAACGCTGGGTGCACAACTTTGATGCCGGAGCATACAGTTTTTACTACTGGGAACACAGGAGTGTCTCAGACATTTTGCTGTTATTTGTATAAACACAAACAGTCTCACACTCCAATACCAGAACACGACAGCAATCTTTGAGAATCAAAGTACATCCAAGGATTTCTCTGCACTTACAATTAACCCCACAGTGTATTAATCTACCTATAATATGAGATTAATATATATAGCATGGGAAATTGAAAACTCTTGCTCCATATGTATGAACATGTCAAGTCTTATAAATAAAACATCCAGTGAAGAGAAAAAAGTTACCATTTCTAATTCATATTTATACATAAAGTACTCTAATGGCAAAATGGATGGAAAATTATGCATGAGCTTCCCCCAAGCCTTGCTAGGATGGCTTGAGGCAGCTCATCCAGTATTTAATATTGAAGTACACACAGGACAGACGAGTCACTAACATACATTGCGCATTTACAAGAGATCAACTACCAAACTGATGACAACTGTACACATTGTGGAGAGACCATTTTCATTCTGGAGCTTAAGATTTTTGTTTCATCATACTTTGTGGTGATTTTTGTTTTGTATTTTTTTTACTTTGTGGAAAGGATAAGGGCAACAATGAGGCCATAGAGACCCAAGACTTCAGCAAAGATCAAGATCAGAATCATGCCCACAAATAACCTAGGCTGCTGTGCTGTCCCTCGTACACCTGCATCGCCCACAATGCCGATCGCAAAACCAGCAGCCAGCCCACTGAGGCCTACACTCAGGCCAGCACCCAGCTGGAGGAAGCTCCTGGAAGGGAAAAACAAGGGAGAGATGTTTAGTGTCAAACAACCTAATTGCAATCCTGTAGTAATGTTTTCCTCTAAAGCTGGTTTCATCGAGTGAATACTGGTCTATGAAGGAGCATTCTAATGTACATTTTTGACCAGTCAAACTGTAATTCCCAGATCTACACCAGGGTGAGCTACTGTGTTTTTTGCCAGTGTTTTCTGGCTCACAATTCTCACCAGTCCTAGTCGGATGGGTGAGAGTTGAGGGATTCTGGAAATTGCAGGGCAGACCATAAACATTTTCAGTTCTATTTGCCCACCTTGGTCAAAGCCTTGAAAACAGCCCAGACTATTACGCCTTCAATCCACACTCTGTCTCTCATGGACTCTAGTGCCAGAACGTTACTAGACAGTTCCACATATAACCATGGAATAACACCATAATGCTTTTGTTGAAAGACAGAAATCCTAGTTGTTTGCCAAGATGGTCCATTTAATTACAGGGCCCCTTTAAAAAACCATTCAACAAAGAAAGCCCACTATTAGATGGAGACTTCGTACGGCAGGTAGTTCATCACTCTGCACTGTTTCCATCCTGCCTCTCATAAAAAAACAAGCTAAATGTGTATATAAACATATAATCAAGAGACTGTACGTCTCCAGGAGAAAATGCTTTTGAGACCGTTGAGAAAAAGAGTGCAGTGTGCTGTGGCAGAAGCATCTAAGAACAGGAAGATTTTGTTACAGGCAACAAACTGTATTTCGTTAGCAATAAACATCCCTATCCCAAGTGGATTATTAGATGGTTATATAACTTACAACCAGAATCTTTTTACAGGACCTTTGTTTTAATCCTAAAGTTACTATTTTTCATTAAGGAACTACAGTTAAGATTAGCTTTGCTGTAGCTCAGGCAGTAATGGCAGGTTATTTCCTTAGAGGATGACATGATAAATCAGTCAACCACAGGCTTGTTACAACCTCTCATGAAAGTTTAAAATTGATTGGGTTTTGGCCCACCTCAAGCACTAAGACAGTGTCTCCGCCTGTTCGTCTAGTGTAGCAGCAAGGGGATTAGTTTACAGGTATGTTTCAAATTAAGTATTTGAATAATTCATGGCTTAACTATTGCACTACATGTAAGAAGACTATTACAAATTTAAGTCTTTTGCCTTATCAAACTAAACACAGCAGCTTGGTAGAAAGAGCAATAAAATACAAAACCTGTTTGCCAGGATCCTAAAGTCAACTCTGCAAACCAAGCAGGGCATTGGGCTGTTGCATTTTCAACAACAGTGCAACGACACAGCTGCATGACAAACTGTTATTGGAAATTTGTTGAAAAGCAGTTTGGGAGGCTGAATGACGGCTTGCTGTTCAAATTACAATTCCAGGCATCCTCACCCTCACAAAGCATGTGGCAACTCACACATTTAGGTATATAGACAAAATCCAATAGAAAAATGAACAACAACAAAAAGATAAAGACAAAAACACCTTTTGACACCTTAAAAATTAACTATTTTATTTTAATATGAGTTTTTCTGGATCAAATCCACCTCCTTCGGACGTATGAGCTTTTCTGGATCAAATCCACCTCCTTCGGACAGATGGAATAGAATGAAATGCAGAGTTCGCAAGTAAAACATTAATTAGTCTGGGCTGTGGGATTACATCTCATGTGCAGGAATTTACTTAATTCACTAGATCTATAGCCATACACCCCAGGCTCTTAATTTGTTTTATTCCATATGTTTGAAGAAATGGACTTAGTCCAAAAAAGCTCACACTAAAATATAGTCTTTAAGGAGGCACAAGGTTTTTGCCTTTTTAAATTGTTATTCTTTTTTTCCCCTTTGGATTTTGCCCGATATTTTGCCCAACATAGACTAACATGGCCACCTCTTCTACAACGATCACTCTGCACTTTGAATCTCCCAGGTTCCATTACTGACATCTCCAGGCAAAGTCAAGAAAAGATTCTTATTCCAAACCTTGAAGTCACTACTAGGCCAAACACTACATGCAACTTTGTATTTCTAATAGAATGTTTAAAAATTCATTAATATTTATATGTATTTGACAGTCTGTAGTGTGTAGTGGCTGTATTTCCCATCAGCCATGAAGCTCGATAAATAATTTAACATTAGGCACAGTCTCTCAGCCTAACCTAAGTCACCGAGTGACTGAGAGGTCAACAATGGTGAGGAGGCCCATATGTGCCACCCTTAGCTCTTTGAAGTAAAGATGAGATAGAGATACAGTGGTGCCCTGCATAGCGATGATGAAAGATGAGGTAGAGATACAGTGAAGGAAGTTAAGTAAATAAGCATCACTTTGGATCCTAACTGTTGTTTCCCAATTAAGGCAAACTTTTTTAAAAAAAATATTAGACTAGAAATGTAAGTTACAAATATTTGTTTCCTCATGTTGCACCATTTTGATTCGCAAAACACAGTGTTTCTAAGAGAGCAGGGAACCTTGGGTCTACAACTCTCATCAGCTCCACACAGCATGAATTCTGGAAACTGTAGTCCCAAGTTTCTTTGGCTTCCCACCCTTGTGCAAAACTGAAATCCAATGTTTAAGGGTAAGCCCCAAACTCTGTATTGATTAAGCCCCTCTGTTGTCTACAAAGACATTAATGTCTCTGCTGTTCCACTTATATTTGTTATGAGCAGCATACGTACAGGAACTATATAGCAGCTTTTCTCTGAACGGCATTAATATGGCATTACGCTTCAGGGAATTAAGTAAATAAGCATCACTTTGGATCCTAACTGTTGTTTCCCAATTAAGGCAAACTTTTTTAAAAAAAATATTAGACTAGAAATGTAAGTTACAAATATTAGTTTCCTCATGTTGCACCATTCTGATTCGCAAAACACAGTGCTTCTTTCTAAGAGCAAGGAACCTTGGGTCTACAACTTCCATCAGCTCCACACAGCATGAATTCTGGAAACTGTAGTCCCAAGTTTCTTTGGCTTCCCACCCTTGTGCAAAACTGAAATCCAATGTTTAAGGGTAGGCCCCAAACTCTGTATTGATTAAGCCCCTCTGTTGTCTACAAAGACATTAATGTCTCTGCTTTTCCACTTATATTTGTTATGAGCAGCATACGTACAGGAACTATATAGCAGCTTTTCTCTGAACGGCATTAATATGGCATTACTCTTCACCCACACATAGCAATTGGTCAGACCTACTTGGATTTGTTATATACTGTGTAGTTCATGACTTCCATTTCAACTAACTGAGAACAGAATTCTGTTGGTTATCTGGATATACTAAAAACCAGCAGCTGGTATCAGGGCAGATTTGATTTAAATCAAATTGATTTAAAATCACTAGTCAGTAATCATTTTATTTTTTAAATAATATCCAGTTTAAATTTTAAAAATCTTGTATGTGTGCACACATGCATGTATCATATCAATTTAAATTGGATTCATTTAAAATAAAATACTTACTCATTTTGATTTAAATCAAATCTGCCCTGGCAGGTATACAATTTGTTTCTATTCAAAACAGCTCTACATTCTGATTTACAGTACTCTTAGAAGAAGAAAAAAACACTTACCTGAATAGTATGATATCAGCTGTGAGAGAGTTGGCAATAAGGACTGCCACGACCAAACCATAGATTGCTATAATACCCGCCATGACCACAGGAATGATGGACTTCATGATCAGCTCCGGCCTCATGACTGACATCGCTGCAATACCTGTGCCACTCTTTGCTGTGCCATATGCTGCTCCCAAGGCTGGAAAATAACGAAAAGCACATGGATAAGTCTTTCCAATCACAAGACAAATTGTACTACCAAAACAAACAAACAAACAAAAAGAAAAAGGAAAAAAGGAATGAACCTGCCTCTTCTGAATACTTTTGAAATGTTGAAATCTTGAAATGTACCAATTGAAGTTCATTATTATTTGGTAGGCACCTAAGTCAGAGGCAGTGCCTAGAACAGGGGTCCCCAACCTCTGGTCCATGACCTGGCACCGGTCCATGGCCTAGACAAGACCAGGCCGTGGATACAGATCTCCTGCCCCCCTGCGTGAGCTTGCTATGCCTCCACACGACCCCGCCATGCCTCCCGCGCATGAGCACGCCACGCCCTATCACACCTCGTGGGAGCATGCCACACCCCTGCATGCACAGATCCTGCCCCCCAACCAGTCCATGGTTGGGGACCACCAGCCTAGAAGATGTGGGGCAGAGATGCCAGGGAACTGCTTCTGAGTGGGCACACGCCGGACAGGCTGGGGCACCAAACTGCAGATCAGCTATGCGGCCGTTGGCCAAAGCAGTGGCTTGGGCTCACCTCTGTTCATTATTAAAAACCATCTGCAAGTTCAATCCAAATAATTCCAACAATCAAGAATTGCCTAAATTATTTTGATTAATACAGCCCTTGAGTAACAACGGTATCTTCAAAGCAGTCTTTTTTAAGGTGGAGTTAATGTAGACCGTCTAATTTAATAGTCTACCAACATGATTTTAACAATTTGGTTAAGTATAGTTGCTTGCTTTTATTTATGCAGATTCGACTCATGTGGGTTCTCTTCACTGAGCCTAATAAACTGTAAGAGAAAACATAACCAAATAGGTTTGCTACACAGTACAATATAGCTTTATCTGAAAGGCTTCAGAGAGGACATATAACTGTGTACCACCTCCACCCTCTAATTTTTAAGATATTGCTTCCTAGTTTAGGTGCCGCAACAGGCAGATTACAAATGAAATTGACAGAAGCACTGAGTAAAGTTACTGTTTAAACAATAGATAATTTATGTGTTTGAAGTACAGCATAGGTTGGGCAACTACATAACAAGAGTTTAAAGCAATCCATGCCTTTCATTGGGTGCATGGAGATTACCAAGATCCTAGAGTGGAAGTTCATTCCCAAAAGCAAACAACATTCTTATTAAGACATCTCATCATTTTGCAAGACAAATATCTAGCTCAGTCTCTTAAACATGTCAGTGAAGCCTGTTACTTCAAGGTGAGCCCTTCCAGATGCTTGATACAGCTTCCCTAAAATTTAACCAGCCCCATAACAAACACATGTCCCTGCTTGTTCCCCAAGTGAGACATTAGATACCACCCTCTTATATTGGTGGACGACAAAGTTGTATTTGAGGCAAATGGTGATGGTTTTCATGGCTTGATTTATGGCTCAATTTCATGCAACAGTTTTGAGAGCTGTAAATATGCTGCCATCCACAATCACTGAGGAGATTTTTGAGAGGTGCCCTCTATAGAACAGTGGTCCCCAACCTTGGGCCTCCAGATGTTCTTGGACTTCAACCCCCAGAAATCCTGGCCAGCAGAGGTGATGGTGAAGGCTTCTGGGAGTTGTAGCTCAAGGCCCAAGGTTGGAGACCACTGCTCTATAGAGCCTAATGGGCAGCAAAGCTACCTGTCCTATTAACCCTTGCCGCTTTCATAGAGCCTTACTACTCCCATGCAACACTGGGAAAGATTCCTTCTTCTTGAAAGGCTAATTAACAGTGATGGAGGCCCATGTGTAGGCAACGAAAGCTACATTCTGGGACTTTCTGTTTTCCAGCTGCAACTTCCAGAATTTGCCTGGGGGAATTCTGAGAACTGCAATCCAAAAATTTATCTGAAAAGTCCTATCCTCAGTCAACACACATTTAGTGCTCTCTAGAGTTTCGTGTGCCATAAATTGGTTTATTCCAGACCGTTTGTAGTTGTGGTAAACCACTTTAATTGATAAGCTAGGAAACACAGGAAATTAGAACCAGAAAAAAAATCCGCTGAAACCTGAGGTTTTACACTGAACAGGTGTTTGTAGTTGTGGTAAACCACCTTAATTGATAAGCTAAGAAATACAGGAAATTAGAACCAGAAAAAAAAATCTGCTGAAACCTGAGGTTTTACACTGAACAGGCTGAGATTTATTCTAAGAATGCTGCCCCTCTTAGCTTGTTTTACCTGTGGAACATTGTAAAATGTCTCCAGTGCTCAACCAGTTGGGTTCACATGGCACTTTTTGAGGACACTGAAGACACAGTACCTTTCTAAATGAAGGGCACCACTTTTTGTTTCAAAACACTATGCTAGAAATTGCTAAATTTTCTTCACTGAGGAACATTCATAAACTGAGAGAATATGCCTCTTCAGACACTTTCACAGTCCAAAAGGATAAGCTATGCAGTGTTTCAGTTCTCTTTTTACATACTAAAAGCATATATCAGCATTCATTATGCAAATACAAGTCTAACAATGATCAAAAACCCCTGCAGCATGTGACTATGTAGCCTTCTGCAAGTTCAGTATATAATTGCCTGTATCCTCCAAGTTCACTGCCGTTCTGTACAGGAGACAGCACTGTATCTTACATTAGGAATTGAAGTTGCATCAGAAATCTGAACATCTGGCAACAGCTGTGACTTTAACAGAACATACATTAATGCAAAACAATGCATTTCTATCTTAACTGTCTCCACACCAATATTAACCCACATGCCCAATGTAACATGAACTGCTTTTGCAGGTTTCTGCAGCAACCATTTTTACCCATATGGCTCATTTTTACCCATAAGTCTGGCCCAAAACGGCACTTTGAGCTTAATACTAGGGACCCAGTGACTTAAGTGGTCACTGAGATCCAGTCAGTACTTCTGTGTAAATTGGTTCCTCTATCTTGGCACGACAGTTTAGGACATGTCATGTCTTACTTGGCCCCTACCTACATCTGCTCAGTTATCAAGTCAGCTATTTTGACTTCACTTTTTAAAGTGAAGCCTACCTACTGCACTGCGTAAACCTAACTATAACTTTTTTCTCTCTCACACAAGGGCTACAGTCAGTGCTATCTAATTTTTTTAAAATATATCTTTTTTAAACTGAAAAAGTGCTCTAATGTTCTCTGCAATGAGCAACTGCACCCTGTAGATTTCCAGCTTGGAAAAAAAAAGCACACGCCCAACACAACCCAAAAAGCTTGAAATAGGGGAGACACATCATAAATGCTCTCAGACCTCCTAGAAAGCACAAGCTGACTTTTGGCAATACTGTTTTGACAAAAAACACTTTGAAAATGGGGACTGCTGAAGCCATACTTGGCCATTGAGGGCTCACTTTGCCCTGCCCAACATAAAATATGTTTTCTGTTCATTCCCCCCCCCTTACAATGCAATGCAGCCAAGCATGTACCTTTTCCTTTAATAGCCTGTCTCTCTCTTTTTTCCTACCATGTCTCAGGCTATTACAGTAGTAGAGACACCTGTTCTTCTTCTTTTTACTTTCTCTGGGTATAAGGGAAAGCCCTACCTACCTTGTGACCAGATGCTAGTAGACAGCAGAAGTAGTAGTTGCTGTGTCTTGTATCTGCTGCTATCTTGCCTTTACCTTGATTTGCCTGCTTGTTCTTCGATTTAATTTTTTTTCTCCTGAAGCTAAATCATTTTTTGCCTACTTGTTCTTTGATTCAGCTTGATTTATTTTTTTTCTCCTGAAGCTAAATCATTTTGTTCTGTTTTAGCAACCTCTTTTTGGTATGTATTATTGCCTTGTATGTTTAGTAAAGTTTATGTTACTTTTTTACACAGAAGCTCTCCATTTTTTTAATTAAGCTGTGCATAGCAAATAGGTGGTTTTAAGTCTGGTATTTTTATAGTAGATGTATATTGGGTTACTTCTTTATATATATTACTTGCTGACTTCTTTTTTTGTTCACCTCCACTGCTTACTGAATATTCTACATGGCTGTGGATACTCTGGTGGTCCCTTCTTTTTGAGCCAACAATTCTCAGCATTTATTTGAAATATCTTTAATAGCAAATAATCCAACATTTTCTGCACCTTTAACTTCTGTTGAAGCCCTAGCATAGATGTGGATCTCTCTCTCAAACACACACACACACAAATCAACTTGTTAGGCCAACTAGCCTTTAGACCACAGTCATATGTCTAGAAGAAAAGTCAAACATGAATTCCCTAACAAGCAATGCATCGTGTTTCAACTTAAAACAGCAATCTTGTTTAAATGTTTAGTAAGTTATGGATGACATCCACTGAACTCTAGGCTTTCATGCCCCTGGTGGATTTAATCCCCTCTCTCCATACCAACAGAATGCTCTACCCCATTGTAAACTGCTGTTTCAATATTCCTTCCCAAGCTGCTTGCATCCGGTGGTTGCCACTTGGGAAAGACAGAATCGTCTTTCAGTACATACGATTCTTTAGCTCCTGACAGACACATTATCCTACCTAGCACATGACATTTGAATATCAATACTTGCTGCTTTCTTGCCCTGTTTATGACTTCTCTGCCACATTTACCTAGCAATTACCAACAAGACAGTGGTCTCTAAACAGAAAGGGGCTTAAGAATGAAGTGACTAATACTTTCTTAACAATTATCTATTTACACGTGGTATATAGATTGCTTCTCTTGAACTGGGCTACTTCAACTGGTTGACTATAAATTCACGGAGATTATTCTGCCCCTATACAGTGGTGCCTCGCTTGACAAGGATAATTTGTTCTGTTCAAATCGCTGTTAAGTGAGATCCTCGTCAAGCAAAACGAAAAAGCTCATTGAAATGCATTGAAAACGGTTCGCTGCGTTCCAATGGGCGAAATACCTCAGCGTCCAGCGAAGATCCTCCATAGGGCAGCCATTTTCCGGTGCCTGTAATGTGAGGAATCTATCCTAAAGCACAGCGGGGAGCCATTTTGAAAACCGACGATCAGCTGTTTTTGATCACCGTTAAGCGAAAAATCGGT